GAGCTAAATAAGCCAAAGTAGGTCAATGTTGAAAAGTGAAAACATGCCACATTTGCTTATACAGTGCTGGCCAACTTGCAGCCACTCCGGAATTTTGCTTTATCCTGCTCTGTTTCGCAAAAACGAATTCAACTTTCGGTATTACGTGCAAATCACATTGCTCAATACTATGCCAGAGAATTTTGTAGATTTAAGCATACAGAAGGGGACTCTGGGGAAAATGGCGAAAACGGCAAAATCGATGTTGGTCACTTGCAGCCATTTTCTACTAACCGTCTATGGAGAACATATCACCTTCCTGTATTTGGGCTACAAATGCACCCTTGGGCCTTGAAATATGCAGTGCAACCGATATTCATCAAACTCCAAGAAGCTTTTAGGGAGCAAATTTGCTTAGACGCCAAATGATCGCAAAAACTGGATATTAGGTTGACAAGAGGTAAATGGCTGATCTGTGCTTCTATGGAAAGGTTGTTCCAATTGGACGTTTAGTGGCGGTTTGCGAATGCGACAGAAAAAACATTACTTGGCATGCTTTAGAATCTACCACCACCTCAACTCAATTTGGAGCACTTTTCAGCTCAGAAATTGGGCTCAGCGGTCTGAAAAGTTCTCAACTTGGTAAAAACACTGCTTTTACAAGGAAGAGCACTGGTCAGGACCTCACAGAGTTTCACTGGAAACATGGAGGCGCTCCTGCTACAAAAAAGTTTGTGCGATTATTGCATCTAATAACGTTCGATTTGCTAAGTGAATGATCAGTTATGAATATTCCGTAAACTTCGCCGTAACATGTAGTGTCTCGATGTTTCCAGTGGAGATCTGCGCGCTTCGGACCGGACTTGTCTTTGTAAAAGAAGGGTTCTTATCAAGCACTAGTTGACTTACCCGGCTCCGCTCGGCCCTGTCATTATTATATTCGTAATCAGCATGCTCGATTACCCCCCTGTGCCAACTCCCAGCCCCGTAGCTCAAATTTTCCAAAAAATCGATAAAATCGATATTGATCGATGACGAAAAGTAGCCTATGACACCCGCCGGGGCCCGAAGTGTATGTGTGCCAAGTTTGGTCCGGATCGGTTCAGAAATGGAATTTTCTATTCGGAACATACGTACAGACAGACAGACAGACAGACAGACAGACATACAGACAGACAAACAGACATTCAGCTTTATATATAAGATGAGAACTTTTTAGACCGCTGAGCCCAATTTTTGAGCTGAAAGGTGTTCCAAATTTGAGTTAAGGTGGTGGTAGAATTCAAAGCATGATAAGTAATGATTTTTTCGTCACATTCGCAGACCGCCACCAAACCTTCAAATATAATAGAACAACCTTTCCATAGAAGCACAGAGCAGCCGATTACCTCTTGTCAACCTCAACCTAATGATTTATCCAATTTTTGCGGTCATTTGGGTTCAAGAAAATTTGTTCCGTGAAGTCTCATTTTTTGGAGTTTGATGAATGCTGATTGCACTGCATACTTTAAAGTTTGGGGTGCATCTGTAGCCCGAAATACTGGAAGGTCACAAGTCTTTCAAAGACGTTTAGCAGAAGGTGGCTTGTAAGTTTTGACCGACCTCAATTCTGCCTTTCCGCCATATTCCCCAGAGCTCCCTTCTGTGTGCATGAAATCCCAGAATTTTTGAAAATAGTGTTTGAAATAGTAATTTGCACGTAATATCGAAATTTGGATTCGTTTTAGGCGAAACAGAGCAAGATATAGCAAAATTTCGAAATGGCTGCAAACTTTTGCCCAGCACTGTGTAATAGGGAACAGTGAGGTCACCAAAAAATTAAATTGTCTTATTCTGATCTATACAGTTGCCAACATGGGCCTCAGACTAAAGCTTACATGAAATATTCATCGCTTCTCTGGGTGTATTGAGAAAATGAAAAAAACTAAAAATTAAAACTCAGAACTCGTTGGAAAATGAAAAAATGATACAAACTGAAAACAACCACCCCTAATTTACTTCCTAAAAACTTTTCACTGAAAAAAAAATCAAAAATCTTCGAAGATACAGTGTCAATATACTGTTTGGTTTCTTATCTATTCATCTTCGTGCTTGTATATTTTTGAAAAAGTGAAAAAAAGTATGCTTTGTATTGGATTGCATGGTTCTCAATAGAAAAACTTCCTGCTTTTTGAAATGATAAATGATACAATTCGAGAACATCCCACTATCCCTGTCGCAGCTCAGCGCGACGAGGTGCCATTGAAAGTCTCTGCAAGAGTTTTAGTGACGAGCGTAATAACTGCACCAATTGCGGGGCATTGGCTCTGGCGGCTGGCTGCGGGTACCACTTGCACGCCTCCCAACCGAATCGCCAGACCGCGCTCCGATCGAGGCAGTTTCCTCGGGGCAGTAGTAACATCAAACAACAGGGTAAGGTCCGAAGGTTAGGTGGGGTGAGGTGACCTGGAACTTCACCGCACTCATATCCCTCCACTCGAATCTGCCGAGACACGCTTTGAATCTGCCGAGACACGCCTTTGAAGGCTGGGTCTTGGAAAAGTGTGACTGCGAGCTCCCACACCTACATGCCTTCTAGTTCCGCCAAGTCCGGGACTGTGCTTGAGTCAAAAAATTGCTTTCTGGGTGTTTTCCGGGCTTGGAGATTGCTGAGGGCGCTGGAGGGAAGATTTCCGCCAAAAACAGCGACTGTCTGCAGAAGATGTAAGTCCACACATTTTGGCGGCAGCTGGCTGGTTCGTGGGCAGCAAATCGCGACTCAGTTGACGGGAATCGCTCGTCCAGTCCCTGCAGTATGTTTCAAGATTGGAAAACACAATAAAAAGCACTCTTCTGTCTTTTTATGCACAGGCGCTGGACTCAGCGCATCCAGTGGCCGTATTCATCAACGAACAACCCAGTGGGTTCCGGAACCCAGTTTAGCGCTTTTGATGAATATCGATTCTACCCCAGGGTAGAATCGATATTCATCAAAAGCACTAAATGGGTTCCGGAACCCACTGGGTTGTTCGTTGATGAATACGGCCACAGAAAGTTAAAAAGTGATAGAAACTTTCGATTGCAATTTTCGCGAGCCACTGCCTCTAAGTAACCTAGAACCTTGGAGTACAGAGATCGCTAGAACTTGGTGTGCAGGGGTGATTTAGCATGCTAATCATGCCTCTTCGTCATGTTCTTGGTATATGTACGGGTTAGGTCAGTATGTCAGCTCATTCCTGCATGAAAAGTTATCTGCATGCTATGTATAGAATTCATATTTATTTGTTAGAGTACCTATTCAAACGTGCATAATTGGCTCCGCCTCCTTGATAACAACAATTATTGAACTGTTTTTTCCTTTGAAAGTATTTTATTTCTCCACCTTGACTACGTACCTCCACCCTCCCTCTAACCTTTTAATGCGGCCACCACGTGTTCCGTGCCACACCCACGCTTGACTGTGTTTGTAGATTTCTTCAAGAGTGGGTCGGATTTTCAGGGAGCGGTATAATTGAGAGAATTGTGCCAGTGACTTTTTCTTACTTGCAAATAATGATTTCAGAAAATCTTCAATAATTAAGATTAGCCTTAAAAAAATTTTTGGAAGCGTGGATGCCCGCCCCCTACATCATTAAGTAAGCATCAGAAGAAGCGCGTTTTTCTCTTGCAGTTTTGAAATCACGGAAGCCGGGTACAGATAAGCACGCCGGTACGAGGAATAGCTTTCTTCGAGTGCTGTTTACACAGCTTTCTAAGGCGTTTATCGAGTGCCTTTTCATCGAGAGTAATCAAGTGAAAATCATAGCATATTCAAATCATAGCTGGAAAATGATTAGCACGAATACCTCCCTTATTTTCAAAGAGTATGAATCATATAATTTGAAATTAGTTTTATCGACCTTCTGGTTTTTGGCATTTTCGGCAACCGAATTGCGAATATACAATTTGAGTTGGGCTCTTGAACGTAAAAAATGGCCGTGGAGGGCAAGGCTTGCTAGGCAGAGACGATATACATGCAAGAAGAAATTGAAACCAAAAATACGAGTAAGTAAATACTGTGTTCAAATTTGCATGCATTTTTTATAGCAATATTGTACGCTCGAGCCATTTATAACAAGACATTGATGATTCATCTCAATATAGAACGCTGAGGTCAAATCTGCTTCAGAATCTGCTGAACGGTCTTGTTGAAACAATTGCGTCCATAACTACTGTGCTTAAAAAGAGAAGCGTGCAGGATTCGAACTGTAACAGTTCTCCTGTAACAAGTACACTTACCAAGCCATCCTCTACAGCACCTAGGAATTTCCTAGACGTCCTCAAAGAACGGAATGTCTTCTCAAATGGTAACTGCAAAAGACCGATCAGCAGATAGTGAATGCAGATTTGAGCTTAGCCTTCCAGGTGGTGATAAATCACATATAGGCTACTGCACGACTAAGTATCATTGGAGGCCAACGCGGCTTCTACCGCAACGCTTGAAGCGCAGGTCTCACAACGGTGTAGATACGCGCAGGTCGGTGGCGCCTGCTCAACTAATACTGTTCCTGCGCGTTTTTTGCGGTAGCCTTTACGTTTTGCTAGAAACGATTAGATCGTCTGGTATCCTTTCCTCGTTAGAGCAGAGGTTTTGGTGATAATGTATTTTTGACCAACAAACATCAGACATAGTTGATTTATCCAGACACTGTTGAAGCTTCATCTTCAAAAAATTTCCACAGAGTGTCACTTAGTCGATCTACTATAAATGCAAAAATATTGACAATTCGTAGAACATAAATGTTCGAAGTACGCACCGCTGCCACTGAATTCTCTTGATTGTCGCCTATGCCACATACCCATCCATTTGCTAGCCGAAAAAACTGTTGATGGAAGTTATCTGAAACCGATCTGTTAGAACGACCCTGCACATCTTATGGCAAAACACAATTTTGTTTTTGAGCTTGCTTACTCAACGAACAGACCTAATACTGAAAATTTTCTATAAAAGAAACTCAAAAATTTTAGTAACTCAACAAAAAATAAGTCAAGAAGCATTGCAGGAATGCACCTCAACCAATACTCCTGGCACATCGAGCGAAGTCGCGGTACTACATGCACTATCAGGAGCAATGAAGTCCGAAGCGTTGTTGCCTCTGAGCGAGATACAATCACTAGCTGAGAAGGTATGCTGATTAGACATTGCTCATGAGCCTCCTAGCCACATGAACGAATTGTAAATCCCTTGTGGGAAAGATGAGTCACACACAAACGGGAAGGCGGGTAGCTATAGAAGGACTACAAACATTCAAAAGGACATGCGCTATTGTTAAGGGAACAGTGTCCTTTGACAAAATGTTGAAATATTGTGATCAAATGAAGTTCCATGTATAGCGTGAAAATTTACGCTTCGAGGCTTTCTCGCTCTGCTATCGCTTTATTCAATGTGTTGCACCGAAATCAAGCATATTTGGTAGGGGGTCGAGCAAAAAAATTCTTGTCCCATAAGATGTGATGACTTGGGGGCTCGCTAACATCGAATCGTGAGGCTAGCATTTTTTCCAAAATTACGATCCATCATTCTGTTCCGCCTCACTCTTGACTTGTATGATATGTCACCACTTAATTCTTCTATGCTATGCCAGTGGCGGTCCGAGATATTTTTGGAGTTTTGGGGAGGGGTGACGAAAATTATCATAGATGAAAAGAAAAAAGCTTCAGAGATCCACATGTTGCCGGTCGAATGCAAATTTGAGTCTTCTGTTGACGACTGAGAGAAAAGGTTGCTGGCTTTGCCTTTCCAGGCTCTGACGATGGCGGAGTCGAAAAGTCAGCTAATAAAAAGTTTATAACAAGCCTCAAAAGTTATTGGGATGCTTTTAAATTGAGCCCTTCTATGATCTCAAATTCCTGAAACTAAGGGGAGTGGAGGTGGCCATGCTTCCGAAAAAATTTCTTGCATGGCGAGTTTGGCTTTCTGAAAACTTTCAAGAATTATTGCAATTGTCACAAGTGCAAGTCACTTGCGCAATTCTACAACTCAAGAAGGCAACTTCTGATCTCGCGGACGTGGGGAGGGGGGGGGAGGGCAAGGCAGGATGGGCCATAGGGGAGCGTGCTCCCCTTTGGAAATGACGTGAGGTTTTTGAAAATGACCTCTATGGCCGTGGGCAGAGTCAACGCGACTTCATCGCCGCGATTCTAACAGACAAACAGTTACGAGTCTATTGCATGCCGATCATCTTGCATTTCAGCTGTGATAGTTCTCCAATACGACCAATCGTGACTAACCATCACAACCGACATGCAATGGATTCGTAACTGTTTGTCTTGTAGAGGGAATCGCGGCGATGAAATCGCGTGAACTCTGCCCGAGGCCTGTGAGTTCCAAAATTATGCGATAAATTTGCAAATGTTAATTAAATGCAATTTCTTATGGGCAGCAAAAAACCACTTATTGTTTGAAATCTAATGACTGGCTACGGCCACACTCTTCATTCGTGAAATCTGTCCTGCGCTCCCTCCCCCCCCCCCCCCTCCTCCTCGCTAGGAGATCTAAGCTGTCGTTTTGACGCAAGAGCGTGGCCGAAGAGCGCCCGCATTCCAGCAGCTTGTCCGGGCTAGGTCTGGTTCGATACGACATTGAACGCTGACTCATCTGTTCTCCGATCGAGCAACACGGCGCCAGGCAGCCGCTTTTTAGCGCGCATGCGACAATCTGGCTACGAAATGAGCCGTAGCGTTGATGTAGGGACCAATTTCACTAGGAAAATAAAACTAGACAAAAGTAGCACTAAAATGTCAATGTCACTTGAAAATCATGTTGAGGTACCCGCATGAGTGCACAATTGGCCTGAGTAATAATGAAGTCTTTAGAAAAAGCTGAGTAGAGGCAGAAGAGTATTCTTTACCGTCGCATCATCATTCTAATTTCGTTCAAAAGTAATATTGCCAGTGGATCAAGAAAGTAACACGCCAACTCGAAGAGACTCCAGCATGGTTCGGTTTTCTAATCTATAATTAAAGAATCGTTGTGCCCATTGAAAAAAGATGAAATTGCGGGAAACCGCGCGGCTCCCGCAGCGAACGCTCCTGCAAACATAGCATCTTTAAATTATTGGTTCACTAGCCATGTAGAAGGTTTGAATCTATTTTTGAGCAAAGTTCCAAAATGTTTGAGAATCGCTCATTCTCTGCACCCCCATTGTCGATTTTTTCTGTTTTGAGCGGAAGATTGGCAGCAGGAAGGGGAATCGTGGAAATCCCATTGTTGAGAGATTTCCTTTTCTAGTATGTAAATTAGTCAGGCTTTGCCCATAAGAATCAAAAGTGGCATTGGGAAGTTTGTGTTCTCTTCTACTAGTGCTTTCAAAAATTTATCGTTGAAATTCAACCCGCATTCATAAAATTTTCGAAAGTGTCCGGGAACTTCCTTTAAAACCTAACAGATAACGACGAATGGGTGAGTGACTTTTCATACGATGAGCAATTCCGAGGTGCGAGGTGTGAACACCTACGGCTAAGTGTCAAGTCTCGCACCTCCGTGTCTAGTATACTGTAGAGGGGGGGGGGGGAGGGGACTTTTCATACGAAGGCATCCACATCATCTTTTGGCAAAGATCCAGTAAAAACTGGCACCATGCCAGGTTTGGGCCTGCTGGCTCCATTCCAAAAAAACATCTAGATTACCTTTTGCAGTACCGCGAATTTGGATAAATTTGGAGAACTTGAATACTCTATGGATTCAAAAAGTGTTTTGCTGTGAAAAATAACACTATGATCGTCCCACATACGAATTTTTTAGTATTCAAGTTGACATAATTCGGTCTGTTTTGCAAACGTTTTGAACTTTGAGTATTGTCACATGCCTCTCCGACCTTTCAGCATGACCTGGAAGTGTTACTCTTCCCATAGGGGATATTGGAGGGAGAAGACGGTCAAGAGGCGCGATTTTTCTGGGTGTCATCAACTTAAAACTCTAGTTTCATGCTACGGGAAAATTCAAAAAGTGCCGGACAAAGTTCATTGGCTTACTAGCTGTTTGAAGTAACCACTTGATAAGTTTGACGGCTTTTGCTAGAAAACTGACAGAAATATCTACAAAATTGCTGTTAACTGCATTTTTATGTGTTTTTGACCTTTAAGAATTTTGTTTGAAATCGATTTCAAGAAAAAGAGATTGAACAATCCCTAAATTCCCTAATATATTTTTTCGAAATTTCAAGTAATTCTAGAACTTCATAAAACGCTAAATATGTGCTATATGCTGCCCATCTGGCAATAGGAATCGCGCCTCTTGACATATCTACACCCACTGGAGGGTATGCGACTCGATAAAGCGATCTATTCATTACCACAATTGTGCCAGTTGTTTGCGAAAATGAATTCGCTGTGGCCCGACGATCTTTACTATGATACGCTGTTTCAACCCGATAAGCTTTATACAACAGATAAACCAGGATATTCCTTAGTTTGCGCATTTTTGATAATAAGCGTTTCATTTTAGTCCATTGTAATCGATAACTGGACGTATTACCAGCACCCTAGCATACGCTAGAAGGTCAAAGTGATCGGGAAGCGTTCGTATGAAAAGTCCCCCTCCCCCCCCCCCCTCTTCACCTAGGCGTAGTGGAGAATCTTACTCATTACGTGGATGGAGAGGTGCGATGTAGTTGTGATGTAGGTGCGAAGGCTAGGTGCGAAGTCCCCGATCGTATGAAAAGTCCCCCCCCCCCCACGACGAATACATCAATCGTTACCCATTTTTGGAAATGCCGCAATTTTTGCAAGCTCGACTAGTGCCATGGTCCTCTACTCGAAGAACTGAGAGTACTAAATAAGCAAGTAGATTGGACTTCTGGACTTGTTTGACACCCAAAAACAAATATCTGTGATCCTATGGCCATACAGAAATTTTCTCAGAACTGCTTGGTGCAAAAGTGCCTGCGCACCATTTTTGAAGAATCACAACTTCTCGAATTAGCGCATTGCCAGAACAATAAATGCTAACAAAAAGGGTGAGGTGGCATATGTGAAGGCATTCCATACTATACACCGCATGTGTTGTTTTCAAGGACTAATAGTATGGAATGCTCGATGGCCAATCTTCTCTCATGTAGAGAGGAAGCGATTGTGTGAGATGGAACAGTCCTAAATGAGATTCGCATTTGCAAAAAAATACAAAGCCTTTTACAAAGAAGCAATTCGCGCGATATGCCCCGTCGCTGGTGCAGCACCAGCGACGCGACATCGCTCAATTTCAGCGATATCGCGAGCATATCGTTGGCGAAAGTATGCTCGTACAAAAATGGCCCGAGATTCGTCGCGGCGTCAGTCTAACACAAATGCGGCGGGACCACACAGTTAGGCGCGCGGGCGCGGCGGACTCGGAACTTATGTTCGAGCTGGAAATCGCGGGAGGTATGCCTTAGGTCTAATGAGGGGATCGCAGCTTGAAAGAAACTTTTGAATCGTGAAGTTCTAGATATCTGGATTTAACGCTGTCTGTACATCCGTAAGGTTTTCTACTATCTTTCACTATGAGCGTATTGAACAGGAGCAAAGGTTGTAGAAGACGCATTTTTCAGCTTTTTGTATGATATTCTGATGATCCTCGGCGGCAGACAGTTTTCCCTTCAAAGTCGTTTATCTTTCTTCAAAGTTAATGAAAACATTCCAAAGTTGTACTGATTATCTCACCCAACAGTGCTAAACATGTTGCTGATAAGAGCAAATGATGTATTGGAATCATAAAATTTGCGATGAACCACAAATCGAAAGTTGGGGTTTATTGGAATTTTCGATATTTCGGAAGCTCATTTGTTCTCATCAGCAATATGCTTACAAGGGAATGGTCAGAAGTCGAAGTGGCCAAACTAAACAAGCTGTATACTATTCTATGCAGTATGAAACGCTGACTTCGAATCTGTCTTCCTTATCTGCTTATCGCTTCTGTGGACGAAGCTACTAGCAGTTTTATTGTGGAAAAATTGTACATAAAAACTGTGAAATTGAGCATATTGCTGCAGTTTCAGCTCAGTTTTGGGCTTTGAGACTTTAAAGTAAGTAAGCTGCATGTTTTGGCCCAGCATCAAGCAGAACGTGGCTTTGTACCACCAAATTTCCACTTTCCGCATAATTTCTTTCAAAATATTGGCATTTAATGGCTTATAGCTTCGTCCAGAAA